ACGGACAACGTAAAACTGTCAAAGCACTTTGTTGTACACCCAAAGCTAATAAAACACTGTACGTCAACTCTACTTAAATTTCTTTAAAAAAGATACATACAGCGGCTGCAATACTCTTTGTGATAGCAAAATACCAGGAACAGGCTGACTCTTCATCTAACCAGGCGAGCTGAATACGTTATAGCGCATCTTTACCATAGCAGGTGAAGTAGCCATTATCAGAAATGACCCCTTATGGGTACTGACATGGAAAGACAGCCATCGTATATCCTAAGGTAAAGCAAGCAAGCTGTAGGATAGGCGTAAAGTAAGATCTCATTTCAGGTGGAAAAGGAAAGAGAATATAGAATATGTTTGCAGGAGCGGAGAAAGGAGTGGGTGGCTGTGCCCCAGACCGTCAGGGGTGGGACTGGAAAGGGAGAATCGAACACTTCTGCATAGACCTAGGCATTAGTTGACTTGTTACAGCTACTACATACTACCTTTTATAACTTGTACGAGTTTGGTTTTCGTTATTACAGATTCGGGAATATCATGCCTACATGTATACTCTCCTAACAAGCCCACCTAGGTTGCTGGGCAGGCTGGGGAAGTGATTTGCCCTGCGGGACACCGCCCTGGCCAGCTGTGGCTGAGTCCCAAGGAGTGAGGGCAGAGGACAGCCATGAGCCAGCTCCGGGCCTCATTTCCCCCTCTCCATAGCATCAGTGTGATGGGCAGCTCCTTTGGCCCCCAGTGTGTGCGACCTTCATGCGGGAAGGGGGCTTGGAGCAACCAGGCCCACCAGCCTTCTTACGGATGAGAGAACCAGAGCCCAGCAGACAGTGACTTGCCTAAAGCCACCCACAAAGCTGACCAGGTGCCCTGACTCCTGGCTCAGTCTCTTTTCTTTCTCCTACACTTAAACAACATGTAAGCCTTACAGAGAGTCTGCAGAAAGGAGAAACAGCATCCACCCCAAATCTGCCCCAACAGTGCCGCCAGAATAGCTTTGTTTTGCTAAAGACGTATTTCTTGGGGCGCCTGGGTGGCTCAGTCGTTAAGCGTCAGCCTTCGGCTCAGGTCATGATCCCGGAGTCCTGGGATCAAGCCCCGCATCGGGCTCCCTGCTCCGCGTGAAGCCTGCTTCTCCCTCTCCCACTCCCCCTGCTTGTGTTCCCTCTCTCGCTGTGTCTGTCAAATAAATAAATAAAATCTTAAAAAAATAATAAAGATGTATTTATTTGAGAGAGAGAGAGAGCGCACGCAAGAATGAGTAGGGGGAGGGAGAGAATCCCAAGCAGACTCTGCGCTGAGTGCAGAGCCTGATGCGGGGCTCGATCCTAGGACCCTGAGATTTTGTCCTGAGCTGAAATCAAGAGTCAGCTGCCTAACCGACTGAGCCACCCAGGCGCCCCAGATTAGCTTTTCGTATCCCCTTCGAGTCTCTGACCCATGTGTACAAGATGCTGAGATCGTCACTGACTTGCCATCGGGCAGTATGTACACCGCCACCACCCCTTTTCTCCCCTCGAACGACCCCCGCTGCTCTAGAGTACCCAGGATTCCTGTTTCATGGCCAGAGGACGTTTTCTGTACCGGATACAGAAAGCTGATGTACCCAGTCCCTACTGCTGGACACTGAAATCACATCCAAGGTAAGCAACACTGCAAGGAACAGCTTTGCGTACAGAGGCTGTTGTCCTCTTGCTGATTACAGCTTCAGGGCAGATTCTCGAAGGGGTCTTACTGGGTCAGGAGGGACGAACATATTAGGGTTCTGCAGATATACATGACAGCAAGGGGGTAGGCTCTGGGGCCAGATGTTTGCGTGAAGATGCTGGCTCTTCCACTTGCTACTCGGGTGACCCATGAGTCTTCCCATCTATAAAATCGAGATTAGCAAGAGTGTTGAGGCAAGGATTCAATAAGTTTAAACACATAAAGGGTTTAGAACAGAGTGAGCACTCAATGCACGTTAACCACTATTTCTACTTTCCCATTATTATGATTATTATCATTGTTCCTTCAATAAAAGTGCTTTGAGGGGCGCCTGGGTGGCTCAGTCAGTTGAGTGCCTGACTCTTGATTTCAGGTCATGATCTCAGGGTCCTTAGATCCACCCCGAGTCAGGCTCCGCACTCAGCGTGGAGTCTACTTAAGATTCTCTCTCTCCTGGGATGCCTGGGTGGCTCAGTCGGTTAAGCGTCTGCCTTCAGCTCAGGTCATGATCCCAGAGTCCTGGGATCGAGTCTCGCATCGGGCTCCCTGCTCTGCGGGGAGCCTGCTTCTCCCTCTGCCTCTGCCTCTCTCTCTCTCTATCTCTCATGAATAAATAAATAAAATCTTTAAAAAAAAAAAAAAAAAGATTCTCTCTCTCCCTCTGCCCCTCCCCCGCTCACGTGTGCGCACGCTCTCTCTCTCTAAAATAAATAAATCTCGGGGCGCCTGGGTGGCTCAGTTGTTAAGCGTCTGCCTTCGGCTCAGGTCATGATCCCAGGATCCTGGGATCGAGCCCCGCATCGGGCTCCCTGCTTGGCGGGAAGCCTGCTTCTCCCTCTCCCACTCCCCCTGCTTGTGTTCCTGCTCTCGCTATCTCTCTCTCTGTCAAATAAATAAATAAAATCTCTAAAAAAAATAAAAAAATAAAAAAAATAAATCTCAAAAAAATAAAAAAAGTAAAAATGCATCGAGCGCTTAGGCCAGGAACTGTTCTAGGTGCCTAGCTGTCCCCTTGACAAACTGCTTTCCCAAAGGGCTCTACTAATTTGCATTATCACTAGCATGTGCAAGATGTCCGTTCCAGTTTTGGATATAGTTATCGTGACCAGACGCACACACAAATTAACAACTTGGTACATGGGGTACCTCACTCAATTTGTTCACATTCTGTTACCTATTTATCTATCTACGTATGTCCTTATTACAAGCCAGGGGCTTGGGCCCTCTCCCGGTATTAATCTCTGTGGAGGCCACCACTGTCCACTGATGCACGGAGTACCCTGGAGGGAAGCGGATGGTGTCACAAGCCAGCATGAACACTTCCCTGAGGCTCAGAGTCATAGATAATATGCAAAATCAGCCTATACTCTTTACCTCCAGAAAAATAATATTATACCAAGGCCATGGGGAATGCTCTGCTTTCTTTCCCACACCCCGTTGTATGGCTTGGTGATTTGGTTAAAGCCGGGTGTGGGACGGTGGGGTGGGGGAGGGGCACATTCTCCCTGTTTAGGGCCACTGGTTCCCCTGTGAGAGTCAGGGCACAGTATGACTATGCAGGCCCCCAGGACCCCTGCTTGCTGGCACACACACAGAGCTAAAGGACATGCAAGCATCCAGGCCTATTCTCGCAGTTTACTGTAGAGAAAGTGACTTGTCTAAGGTCACTCGGCTAATTCAAGTCACACTGTGTCCTCACCGCTGGTAGGGGCTCTGTCCACGGCTTCACACTCACCATGGCAATGGGGCGGCCAAAGTCCAGAACCCAGTTCTGCAGGGTGAAGTAGAACCAGAGGTCAAGGTGGAAGGGAGCTGTGCCTGCAGCTTCATCAGCCTTGGCGGCGCTGTGCCTGGGAAGGAACCGGACAACAGGGGTCAGCTCTTCTCTCCGCCCAGGACAATCTTCCCCGAGATGAGCCACAGAGAGATATGGGGATTTGAGGGCAGGAGGATTAATTTCTAGGAATTTTGCTGGAAATACTGGCTCTGAGGCCAAGGGGAACGTGTCCTGGGAATGGATTCCGGCTGCCCTATTGTTAGCTTAGCTTCTCTGTGGTTCAGGAAGGAAACTGCCAAACTGGTATTGGGCATTCTCGCCTATAGAATGACCGGGAGATGAAATGGGGCAGAGGATGCAATGTGGCTGGAAAATGTGAATCATGATGACAGATGACAGCAGTGAACCTTTATTGAACATTTACTATAGTCCGGGCCCATTATAGCTGCTTGCATGCATTATCTCATTTAATCCACACAGAAATCCTTTGAGGTTGGAATATTATCCCCATTTTACACAGCCAAATATGTGTGCCTAAATGATGAGACTCCATAGCTTATATTTTTAACCTCTCTGCCATCATCACATCCACAGTGATTGGGCCACCAGATGGGCATGTGACCTGAGCTGGACCCATCAGCGGCCTCTAGTGAGATCTGCCTTATAGACCGCAGACTGGGATCAACAGGCCCTTTCCCTCAGTTCCTGGACTAGGAGGAAGTAAGAACAGGGCTGCTGGAGTCACTCTTCTCACTAACCCACAGTGCAACGAGCCAGCAGGGGACAAGCTGATCCAAGAGACACGGCAAGAAGTGGAACATCATCTGACATCACATCTTTGGATGCCTGTCCCTCCTGCAAAGCCGTTGGCCATCTGCTTTTCACAGATGAGCTGAAGTTCAAGGGCCAGTGCATCCGCCACTTCCTCCAGGAAGGCTTCCCCGATGAAGCTTTTCCCAAAACCCCACCAGCCCCACTACAGGGGTGCTTCATCTCTAACTCCTAGTCTAGCCATGACATCACAGGCCTGGAGTTTTGCTTATATCTAGCCCCTCAAGAAGATGAGTGACTTTTAAGGTTCTCTCAACTCACCCACCGCGTCAGAGTCCAAATCCTCTTTACGATGTCCCTGACACTACTTGCATGCCTCCAGTGACAAGCAGCCTGCTACTTCCTAAGATGACTGAGGTGTGAGTTTTATTGCTCTATTTGTGCCAAGAGCAGAGCTGTGTGAATGGCCCATATTACCCAGAGTTCTCAGCTCAGTTCCTGGTTTACACTTAGCAATTACTGGCTGATTTAAAACCATCTCAATCTCTAGTTACTCATTCGTTTTACTTGCAAATATTAGAGGCGACATGAAGGTCTTCTCAGTGCTCCTATTGCTTCTGTAACTTTTGGGGATCCCTCTCAGCCAATCGAAGAACGGCCCACAGTGGGCTTGTAAAGCAGCCCAGAGGCAGAGGGGCAAGCTCCTGGGGTGGGGGACAGGGGGTCCTACCATCCTCTGATGGCTGGCAAGACAGGTGGGGTGGGCCTTTCTTGGGTCAACTAAGTCTTCTTGTCCCTTTACTCAGTGCCCACCCCCCAACTTATTGAGTGCTGAGTGTGTGCTATGCTCGGAGCTTCACCTGCACCATCTCACTGACTGAGCAATACCAGGAGGTCGTTCCCCTCTTGTGTGACAGATGAGGATGCTGAGGCTTACAGGGGTTGAGCGCTTAGCCAAGACCACCCCCGTAGTAAGGGGCTACAGCAACTACTCTTTTTGTCAGCCTATTTCCCACTCCATGCCTCTTCTAGTAAGAGATGATGTTCCCTTGGCCACAGGGAGGGCCTGTAACCTAAGCCAGCCCGGTGGGACTTTTCCAATCAGAGTTGGTGGAAAGAGTGCCTTCCCTTCTGGCGCTGGGGTGCTAAGGATGCAACTCCCGGGCTGCCTGTAGCCAAGGAGCCAGCCTCAAAGGACAGCCAGGCGAGAATGAAGCAACCCTGCAGAGAAGACCAGGAAAAAGGAAGAGGCAAAGCCCTGCGAGTTCTAGGCAGCCCCCAGGTAACGGTTTGGCCACATGAGCCAATATATTCCTTTTTGCTAAGGGCGCTGTAGTTCACACTGGCTTTATGTCACTTGCAACCCAAGAGTCCCGAACAGCATAAATTCAAACCTGTGTCTATATGAACTCAAGAACTGTGCTCTAAATAGTTTCCTCTTCTGTTTCTGTTACAATAAACTATGTGCCATATGAAGAGATCAAGACAGAGAAGGCTCAGTAAGGCCTGGGGCAGTATGCAAAGCCTGCATGAAGGAAGAGAGCCTGAAAGCATGGATGGGTGGATTTAAGGAGGCAGAAAAGCAGGAAAGTGGGATCGAAGACCTGGAGTGGAAGGAAGACACTGCATGGAGTTGAATGCCCCGGCTTATCAGTAGAGAGGAAGAGAAGTGAGAGAATGGCTGGGCTTCAGACTGGGCAGATAGTCAGAAACTCGCTGTGAGGGCTGCTCTGACATGGGTCTGAGATGAGGGACTGGCTTAGAGGGCCCACCTGCCCTTCCCCTTAGTGACTATCAGTCAAGGCCTCAAAAAGCAGGTGGTGAGAACCTCCAGGCCTGAAGAACTTGGTGGGAGAAAGAGGATAACAACCCTCAGTGTTTTATTCTGGAAACCTCCAAACTGGGCAAGGAGTAGAATGTTTGCTACAGAAGAGAAACGTATTTTGAAAGCCTGGGGAAGTACTCAGGTATGGGTCTCTGGAAGCTGTGGATACCTAGCATATACTAGGGGCTCAGTAATTATTTCCTCCTCTACCCAAGAGGGCATCTCAGTTAGTGGAGATCCCCATCAGTAGTCCAGCCTGGCTTAGCAGGCAGGAAAAAAAAGGACAGATACAGGGCACTCAACTTGGAAATCAAGATTGGTTAGCATCTGACTGGTTTTCTTCTGTTGGGACTATGACCACAGGTGGCAGATTATGGAGGGTGAAGGCATCCTCTCCCCTAGTCCTTGTCCTGAGGATGAGCAACCTCAAGCCCGTCCCAAGTTCCTGACTCCACAGACTTCACACACTGAGCCCCCAGCCTGTGCCAGCTCTAGATCTCAGTCATCAGAAACTGCAGCTGAGAACATCAGTCCATGGCAGGTAACCCAAGACAAGGATGGCCTTTTCTCTCTTCCACAGCTTTCCAAGTCTACCATATGGGGGAACTGATACCATGACAGGTGGGGAACACATAACATACAGCTGAAATATTCAAAGCAGTCAGCATCTGCAGGATTGCCTGGGAGAAAAGGAAGGACTCAGCCATGGTGGAGTCAAGCAGGGGACTATAGCGGGAATAATTTTGGTTCTATATAAAGAATGGTAAAATACCTGACATGATGGAAAGCTTGAACAAAAAATGAGAAAATGAAGGCAAATAAGAGGGAAAAAGAAAGGCAATTAGAAACCCCAGGAAAAACAAAAACAATATAAGAGAGCATATGGTACTGTTAAACATTCCTTGGCTCTGTAGGGAATGTTTACATGGCTTAAAACATTAAACATTAAACATAAAAACATTGCATACTGATTTTCAAAGTTTAGAATCCATGCACACACAAAACATGGAAGACAACTATGCCTAAAAACAGCAGGTAAATACCATTAAACTTGAGAACATGAAAGTAAAACTATAGAGGATAGGAGTTAGGGGAAAGGGTAGGGAAAGCCAAACGTTAGGGTAGGGGACTATTCTTCTTCTTCTTCTTCTTTTTTTTTTTTTTAAGATTTTATTTATTTATTTGAGAGAGAATGAGATAGAGAGAGAGAGCATGAGAGGGGGGAGGGTCAGAGGGAGAAGCAGACTCCCTGCTGAGCAAGGAGCCCGATGCGGGACTCAATCCTGGGACTCCAGGATCATGACCTGAGCCGAAGGCAGTCGCTTAACCAACTGAGCCACCCAGGCGCCCTATTATTCTTCTTTGAAAAAGGAATAAAGAGATAATGCCTATAGTTCCCCCAAAAGGAAATAATGGTGTATGGATGTTCCCTAAGGCTACAAAGGTAACAAAGAGAAAAACTAAGAATAGTTTAAAAACTGAGAATAGATGAACCATCTTGTGAAGATGAGGGAGGTATAAGCGAGCCAAATCATAACAGGAAATCAGTAAATATTATCTTAGAAGGTACAAATGATAAATCAAGGGGTGCCTGGGCGGTTCAGTCGGTTAAGTGTCTGCCTTCAGCTCAGGTCATGATCCCAGGGTCCTGGGATCAAGCCCCGCATCCGGCTCCCTGCTCACCGGGGAGCCTGCTTCTCCCTCTCCCACTGCTGCTCCCTCTGCTTGTGCTCTGTCAAATAAAGAAATAAATAAAATCTTTTTAAAAAATGATAAATCAGGAAATGGCAGTTGAGCATAGCTTTTAAGAATATGGACTTCGGAGACCACCTGGGTTCACATCCTAGCTTTGCCACCAACCAGATCTTGAGCAAGTTACTTAACCTCTCTTGGGCCTCAATGTTCCCATCTATAAAATGAGTGGTAACAGTAGATCCTACCTCAAGAGTTGTGGTTGAATTTTACGTGCAAAACTTTAGAGTGGGCTCTGGTCCATGGAAAGTGTTACATAGTATTTGTTAATACTATTTTAAAATATGAATTTAATTCTAGTAGAAACAGCTAAAAGAAGCTACTGTGGTTTTCTCTGGTGCCAGGGAAAGGTGGAACAGAGAACCACTGCTTTTTACTCTAAGCCCTTCTGTGCTATTTAACGATAGGCATGTATTACTTTGATAGCAATACAAAAACTATCAACAGAGCAGGCAGAAGCTGGAATGGGCTACCTCGAAAGATAGTGAACACTGTGTCATCAGAGGTGTGTAAGCTAAGCATGGATGCAGGTGAGGAAATCCAAGCATCTTAGGAACTGGACAGGTTGATTCTGCCTACTGTCTTAAGCTACAATGATACTGAAAATGGTCCTAGAGGTACCCTAGCAGGGTGGCAGGGATACCCTGGAAGTGAGTCAGCCCTTGTGCCATCCCCAGCGAGCACCGTGGCTGGCAGCAGCCCAAGTGGAATAGTACAGAAGCCCTGGGTTTAGACCCTGGTTCTTGCCAGCAAATGATATTATCTCTCTGGGCCTCATATACGAAATATGTTTTTGTACATATACAAAATATGTATGTATATGTTTCCACATATACAAAATAGAACCAGACTAAGATACTGCTTAGGAAGCCCCACACATGAGATAAAGTGAGATCATATCTGATACCCACAGATTGTTCTAATTGGGCTGCTACAGTTCAGGGCAGTCAAAGACCCCCAACTTGAAGGGGATCCAGAACAGAAACGACCCTCAGTAGCAGGAGAAAGAGCTACCCTTAGCCAAGTCTCTCAGACTTCTCCCCTCATCTCAAATCATACCACAGACTTCCTAAAATTGACTCTGAGCACACCAGTGCTCAAAAACCTTCCGAGGCTCCCATGTGCTTACCAGAAAAAGGCTACATTTTTAACCTGCCATTTAGGGCAGGAACTAGGGTGAGGCAAGTGAGGCACACAGGGCCCAACACAGGGGTGCCCGAGAGTGAGCGTCTCCTTAAATTTCTTTAAAATTTGCAGTCTAGGCTTTCATTCTGGTCCCAGCCCTGCTGCCAGGAAAGGCCCTTCCCAGTCAGTCCACATCCTCTTGCAGCTGTATACCAGAAAGCTCCAGCACCACTGACCCCTTGCCTCTCCCCAAACTTTCCACCACCTCCTCCCCCAACTGGAACAGCTTTTCCTCCCTGAGTCACCTACTGAATACTCTGGACTCAGCTCAAGTGCCACTTCCTCCACCAAGCTCTCCAAGATGACCTCTTAGCCCCTTCTGGCTTCACCTCACCCACCCCTTCAGTGCCCACCACAGCACTAGGCACACCAACGATACTTAATGCAAGGAGTGTTTCTGGCCTGCACAACAGGATGAAGGCAGAATGGAGGGAAAGACTAAAACGTGGTTTCCGTGTTTCTTATTCTGCCCCTCCTGGTCTCAACTATATAAACCAGTAACTTCTTGCCCTTAGTGAGAAAAGGGAACGGCCAAACGAGAAAAGCCCTTCCTCGTTCTTTCTCGGGAGGGGAGCTTCCACACACTTCGCTGTCTCTTGAATTTCCATTCTCACATTCTTGGGATAAGGAGTGAGCCTCCCGATTGACACCAGAATCCAAGTCCTATTCCGCTTGGAGGGACCCCGAGAACTTAGAGGTGGCGCCCCGGGCGTGCAGGTGCGTTGGGGGCGGAGTGTGCGCCGGGGTCCTGGGGCCCGCCGCCCCAACCCCGAGTTTCTTGGACCCCTAGATTGGTCTCCCCAGAGGCGCGACTGTCCTCGAGCCGGCCCGGGGGGAAGGGGGCGCCGGGGGCTGCTGAGCCTGCCTGGGCCCGGGGCGTCCCCAGGAAGAGAAAGGGCGGTGGAGACGGGGCCCAGGCGCCAGGGCGCAGCGAGGGCAGCGCAGGGGAGACTGACTCCGGCCGCAGCCCCCGGCCCACCCCGGGCTCCTCCAGCCGGGCCCCCGCCGCCCGCCCCGCATCACGTGGGGGCCGCGGCCTCGCTCCCCGCGCCGGCGCGCGCCCACCTGGCCTGCACGAAGGAGGCGCCCGGCTGCGCGCTCGCGCCGCCCGCCGCTCCCGGATGCTGCCGCCTCCGCGCCGCTGCCTCCATGGCTGCCCTGCCGGCGGCCGGCGCCTCGGCCCGCTTTCCAAGCTGGGGAAGCGCTCTGCTGGCCCGGCGGCGGCGGGGCGGTGGCCAGGGCGGCCACCGGGCACGGGGCGGGCGGGGGCGTGAGAGCTCTCAGCCCGGGGGCGGGGCCGGGGGCGGGGCCGGCGCGGGCGGGGAGGAAGGGGAGGGACGCGGGGAGGGGCGCGGGGAGGGACGGACGGAGCGGGGGAGGCGGGGCGCGCCGGGCCCGGGGGCGGAGGGACGCGACGGTGGTGGCGTCCGCGGCGTGGAGCGGGGCACGGGCCTGCGCACGCAACGCGTGTGGCCCGGTGGGGGCTGGACGTTGCTGGGGTCGCCGGCGACGTCCGGGCGGGAAGCTTGGCCTAGGCAACACCGGATACGGGTGTTGGGGGGGTAGGGACCTGGGGTACGACTCACCTGTTCCGGATGCTCCCCTGGGGAGGAGGCGAGGCTGGATTTCCCTTGTCTTTGGGGACAGGGACGGGGGTGGGGGGAATTATGTCCTCCCACACTGCGCCACGCGCTTTCCTTTTTCAGATGGAAGATGTCGCTTCCTAAAATGTCACCTCTGTGGCCCTTGACGCTAGGAATTAAATAAAGGGCGGGATCAGAGGGTAGGACGGAGAGGAGCAGCGAATTCTTTCCAACCTGGGGTGGCGTGGAGTGGGTTGATGCAGATTCTAATTCTGGATTTGTCACTCTTTCGGACTTTGTGGCTTTGGAAAAGTCACTTGCTCTCTGTCCCTCCCAAACATGTATTAACTCCCTGCTGTGAGTAGCACACTGTGTGGACAGGAATGGACGAACCCAGCTCTAGTAAGGTGTACGTTTGGTGGCTGGAAGGAGGCATTGGTAAAGGGTGTGAGCGGAGACTTGGAGGGGGTGGGGTCAGACCAGGCTTCTGGAGGATGGACATTCCCGTTGTGACTTTGGACTTCTGAGATGACAATGAAGTCTGAGCAGGAGTGGAGGGAACACAGTGAGTGGGGGAAAGTGTTCCAGGCAGAGGGAACAGCCAGCTAGGAGGCTCAGCATCCAGAGAGAAGCTGGTGTTTGGAGAAAAGGAAAGTTCAGTGAGAGCAGCAGAGTGCATGAAGGAAGAGCAACAGGAGGTGGCCTGGGGAAGGGTGCAGATGAAGAGGGCCTTTATCCTGGGAACAACGGGAAGCAGTTCAAGAGTTTGGGGGTAGGGAAGTGGCACCATCATATTTGTGTTTTGGATGAGACAAATGGGGTGGATGAGAAGAGGCAGGACCGGAGACCACCAGGTGGAGCACGTGATGTGCATTTGTTCTAGGGAGGGTCCTGCACTGCTCAAAGCCATGGTGGGAAGGAGAGAGTTGATGAGCCCAGTTGCATGGTGGGTACCATGGTGGTGCCTCCGGTGTCAGGGGTGAGGAGAGAAGAGTCCAGGCTCTGGCCAGGTTCTGCAGCT